GGCGTGGTAGCGCGCGCCTGTAGTTCCAGCTACTTGGAAGGCTGAGGCAGAAGGATCGCCGGAGCCCAGCAGGTCAAGGCTGCAGTGGCTGGGAGCGGCCACTACACTCCAGTCTGGGTGACAGAGTGAGACTCCAACTCAAAAGAAAATAATAATAATAATAATAATTTCAGAAACAGAGCCCAGAGATCGATCAGAGAGCCACCAACACATGGTTTTGCTCCCATGGACTTACAAACCTCAGTACCTTTCTAAAATGTATCTTATAACCTTCACTTTTCACCTAACTCCTTGATTTACAGTGTTTCATAATTTGGGATTACACTCTAAAGCAGTTTCATGCTATTTCATAAAAAAACAAATGCAAGAATAACCATTCCTGGGATGTAGATTTGTGCAATGTGTGCATGACTGAGTTTTCAGTTGGACGGTCTTTCTACCGTCGGCTGAATCAGAATTCTTACACCATGTGTGAGAACACCCAAATGATCCCTCAGAAGTTTGGAGAATTTGAAACTTGGTTGCAAATATTCTTTTCAAGTAATGTCTTGACTGTGAAATCCCAGAGACCTGTACTTTGTGATAAGAGTAGACATGAGTTCTTTTCCTTTCTCCTGTCAAAAAAGATGTAAATGTCTGATCTGTTTCCTTACAAAGTGTCTGCTTTCTGGGACATTTGGACCAGTCCTGCGGAGGTGAAATTGGGCTTGGATAGGCCGTCGGGGTGACTGATCTGAGACCTTGTGAGAGCCGCGGTGTTCTCCCTTGGTGACAGCTTTTTCCCTTTTCAGGGCTGCTTCGTGACAAGCTGGGTTCCTACGATGTGGCGTTCTACCTCGCTGGGGTCCCTCCCCTTCTTGGGGGTGCGGTGCTTTGTTTTATCCCGTGGATCCATAGTAAGAAGCAGAGAGAGATGGATAAGACCACCAGTGGGGAGAAGACGGAGAGCATGCTGGGGAACCAGAACTCTCTGCTGTCGAGCCCGTCTGGAATCTTCAAAAAGGAATCTGACTCTATTATTTAATGTCTTACATACCTCCGCCGGACTGGACTTGCTTGCAAATTTGAAGCAAGTTTTCCTTTTATATGAATTGCAAATTTCTTATTTTTTTAATCACATCCTAGAAATAGCACAATAATTGGGAAATAGAACCCTTATTACTCCAAGAACCATTTTCTGCCACTGAATAGCTGTCTGGTGTTTCCATGAGTCTGAGGGCAGAGACTCTGGTACGTGAAAATGTGTCTGAAAGTCAAAAATGGCGAAAATTTGAAGCTATCTCAGTAAACAGCTACTTGGAAAACTGTGAATGCTACTTAGCTTGTACAATTATTTAAAAATACCTCAAGTTGTAAGAGTTGCAGTGTGGTCAGGACTGGAAATACTTTGTTTGTGGTCTCCCATGATGTCTTCAGTCCTGGTACCTCTGTTTTAATTTCTTCTACTCTTTGGAAACTTTACAGAATTTAAGCCTGGATTCTAGATAATACCAGATCTACCTAAACATCAAGCTCATGTTCAAGTTGTTTGCCTGCTGTCAAATAAGCTATGAAATTGAGATAGTCTGGGCCGGGCGCTGTGGCTCATGCCTGTAATCAGAGCACTTTGGGAGGCCGGGGCAAGAGGATTGCCAGAGCCCACAGGTTCGAGACCAACCTGGGCAACATGGCGAGACTTCGTCTCTACAATAAATAAAAAAATTAGCCAGGTGTGTTGGTGCGCGCCTGTAGTTCCAGCTACTTGAAAGGCTGAGGTGGAAGGATTGCGTGAGCCTAGCAGGTCGAGGCTGTAGTGGCCGTGAGCAGCATGCCACTGCACTCCAACCTGGGTGACAGAACGAGACTCCGACTCAAAAAAAAAAAAAAAAAAGATATTCTGACTTGCTCCAGTGTCAGAGGACCTTCTGGGAACAGAGGCTAAAAATGTGATCAGGATCAGTGTGTGGGATGGAGAATGCCATGCTCGAGGGCAGAGGGGAGGTCAGGTGCTTCTTCTAGCTGCAATGATGACATTGTCCATTGGCATCTGCAGCGTGTTTCACTCAGGTAGCCCAAACACCCCAGATTTCTGAGTTTGTTTAAGTTGTAACGGTAAAGTGACATAGAATGCATGAAAGATATTCTGGCAATTTTAATAGTATTTTTCTGGCTTCTGGATTTGTTAGCACTAGGACCTGGTATTTAAACAGTCTTACTGAGCTTGTCACCAAGTGGCTATTACAGGTACAGACTGGCAGGGAGGGTGGCAAAGCCCTTTATGTTTATGAAGAAAATATCTATTTGTGATAGAAACAGTTGCTTAAATTGGTTTATAAAGTTAGTGAGTTTTAAAAGGTTAAAAGAACCAAGTTTGACATTTTTCTGGCAAAAGTCTGCATTTCTGTATTTATCCTAGTGTGGTTCCCATCAACATTCTTGTTATTTTTTTCTATTTGTATATAGATTATCGAAAGAAAGCTGTTAGTTTAGGGACCTAAAATTAAAACCAAAGTCATGCCGTGACCCATACTTGTTTATAAAAATAAGAACACTCCTATGTCTCTGAAATTATACCTGAGTACTTTTGACCTTTAGATGTTAGTGACTCTGATTGTGAAGACATTCTGCAGCTTACTACACCGTACACACAGCTGTACGTACTACATCTGATAGTTTCGGTTTTTGTATTCAAGGGACTTAAGTAACTTGTCTGAGGAAGGTTCCATTGTAGAAAAAAGAAAAAGTCTACATTTTGACCATACTGCCTTTTTATGTTCTTATTTTAAGCATTTAGAAAATGATTTAGAGATGATAATGTAATATATCACTCATGTATAACGTAGCTTCATTATTATCAGCGCTTTGGAGACCTTCAACAAAAACAACCATCAAACCTGCCATTCTAAATATTTGTTTATTTTTTAGTGTTAGCACAGACTCCTAAGATGTCCCCCCTCGGATTTCGCAAAGTGGATAATTTGGTTTTTCTGTTTTTTATTTTTTTGTAGAGGTCTCACTATCCTGCCCAAGCTGGTCTTGAACTTCTGGGCTCAAACGATGCTCCCACTTCGGCCTCCCAAAGTGCTGGGATTACAGGCATGAGTCACTGCACCCAGCTGAGAAAGGGTAGTTTGGAAATGGAAAATTTACCCAGTAAAGACCTCCAAAATGTTTTCTTTTTTCAAAGTTGGCTGATTTTAGGGACAACAAAAGGGGGGGGGCGGGGTGAACCAAAGACTTGGTCTTGCTTGGTAGTTTCCACATT